ACAATATGAAGATTTATTCAGCATGTAACATGAGCTTGGTTTAACAAATTTAACTGTGACCATTAAATAACTTTTCCACTTTTACAAATGGAAATTGAGTTTTGACTCTTCTTTTAAAAACTAAATATTTATAAACTTAGGGAGGAAGATTCAAAGAATCAGAATATCTTTCCCTCCAAAGCACAATTGTCCCATGTAGTCAAATCAAGGTAAGTCCACCAACCTATGAATGAATCTCCACCCCCTGAAGCTGCTGAGTTGAAGGGCAGGTGGGTAAGGGAGCAGATCTCCACTTCCCACTCTCAGTCCCCTGGTGATGAGGTCCTTGATATAGGCATCTATCCAGCTCATCATCTGTGGTGATGTCTACGTTTTGCACGAGTGCCACCATGCTGGTCCTCAGCTTCTGCAGCTTCTCCTCTGTCTCGCGGAGCTTTCTCTCAGAGATGCACAGGCTCTCCTCAGAAGCTTTGGCCCGTGAGTCAGCGCGTCTCTGGTAGGAATAAAATAGATTCTGGAGCCTCACTTCATACTGCTTGAAGTACTCTTTCACAGGAAAAGATATCAGCTCATCTGAGTTCATAGCACTCAGCTCCTTCTTAGAGACAGGGAAACTTGGAGGCAGGGAAACTTGGAGGCAGGAAGTACGGTAAACAATTTCGAAGGATCTGGACGAGCAGGTCCACGGTCTCGTGGTTGGTGGTTGGGACGGTGGTGTCGGGCTCAATGCGGATGCAAAAGAAGTGGAGGGCGCCACCATGGCTACAGCCTACTTGGCCACCCCAATCTCCTCCTCCCCCCCCCCGCCGCCCTCCTCCTATGCGTCAGGGCTCTGATACTCCGGAGAAGGGGTCTCCATCAGACGCACATCATCACTGCCTTCTCCACTCAGCGGTCTCTCGGTGTCTTGTCTTTGGGCTCGTAGTCAAATTTCATCTTCCACCACACCACATTCTTGCCCGTCCACGGCTGTGACCCGGCCCCTGTACCACTGCCTGTTCACACGCACCTCCACGTGCAGCCCTTTATCTTTCTGAGCCCTCTTGAGCTCAGCGGAACCCTCTTCCCCAGCACTGAGAGCTCGTTGAAGTCCTTCTCTTCCTCCTTCACAGCAAATTTGCCCCACTTGCACCTCTCATTTCTCCTCTCAGCCTTTCCTCTGCTTCTTCCTCATCAAAGACCCCAAGACTCTGCTTTCAACCAGGGGTAGCTGGGAAAGTTTAGTGGGTGGTTCGGGCTGCTTGACTACTGGAGTCTTGATGACACTGAGGGTAGGGTCCTCTGTGGTGCTCTTCGAGTTGGGCAGTAGAGATGGTGACAGTGGCTGAGTCAGAGGGGTGGGCCAGGGAGCAGTCTTGATGAGTGCATTCACAAGCTTTCCTGGTGCCTCAGGTGGGTAGAGCAGTCTTGATGTACTGGCCTCCTTCCAGGCTGCCAAAGCAGGGGGCTTTGGAGTGTTACTGATGACAGAAACCTTTTGGGGCTGGCTGGCTGGTCTGGGAGCTTGCAAGGAAGGGGGTCTGCTTGAGGCATTCCTGATCACAACAGGTAAAGGGGGTGACTGAGGATTCTGGGGTCTACGTACAGGTTCCTCAGAGGAAGGTCTGGTGGTCACTTCCAAGGGCAATTTCTTCGGGTCAGGTTTTTTTTTTTTTTGACACAAACCCTTCAGAAGGTCCAGAACAGAACCGGAGGCTTCCCACTTCCAGCTCCTAAGTTCTCCTGTCACCCCTGGCCAGTCCACCATGTCACCATCAGCCAGCCATTCCTTGGGATTGCCTGAGACTAAGCAGTAAGCTGTTTGCTTCAAACTGGGAGTGGAGGGAATTAAAGAAACCCGAGGCTACTTTGTAGAAGTGCAGGACTACAGGCTGTGAGCATTGGGAGAGGGATATTAGGTAGCTGCTTGCTGTGTTCTCGGTTGCCTCCAAAGAAGAGTCTGAATGGGTTATGGGGGGACCACCAGGAAAGCAAGAGTAGCCACTCTTGGAGTCAAGACCCTATAGTCTGGCTTACATCCTTGAGGCTCAAATGCTCTCAGCTGTGACTTGGGGATCCCCTGACTTTGAGGTGATGGGATCCCAGAGTCTCTGTACAGATGACCTGGTGGGTGTCTTCTGCCAGAAGGTGAGTAGGCATCCTAGGTGCAGTGCAATCCAGTAAGGTAGGCAAAAGATTCCATCCTCATCAACTCTAGGGAGGCTCAAGAAAGCCCAGCATTCTCTAGAAGAAGGACTGGACCAGCACCACTGTGGTGGACCCAGATGCTCCCCCTTCCACTGAACCCTGGCTCCCCCTCTGCAGCGCCCAGGCTCTGTTGTGACAGGCTGTGTCTTGCACAAGGATAACTCAACAACAAGGCAAATGGGGCAGAGAGATCCAGCCCATGGTCCTTGCATTTAGCTGGGCACCCACAAGGCAGTATCTGTCCCTTTTTCTGAGTCTCTTGGAGGTGCTGTGTGGGTCTGTGGGACTCTGGAACCCGGCTCTCTCCCTCTGCTCTCCAACGGTAGCTGCTCAGGGCTATTCCCATTAGCTGTCATGTCATCTCTCCCCCAGTCTCCCTTCTTTTATCCCCTGCCTCCTTTTTCCCATCCTCACCCCCTTGTAGTCTACCTACGGGGATGTTAACTTCTTCACAGCCAGCTCTCCCAGCCCACTGGTAAACCCCCAACTTCACCTTTCCTGTCTCACCATCCCCCTCTTCCAGATTGTTCCCTGCCCCACATCTACTACCAGACGCCTCAGACACTGATGACCCCAGTTGGCCTCCAGAGTCTCCCAACCCAGGCCCCAGCCATAGAAATGGGTGTACTGGAGCTTTTGGAAGTTGGAGTTGTTAAGAGTGGGATCGCAGAGGCTGCAGCAGAAGGGGCAGTTGCCAGTGTGGATGCGGGCGTGGTCCTGCATGTCTGAGCAGCAATGGAAGGGCTTGGCGCAGAACCTGCAGGTGAAAGTCTTCCCCACTGCCGCACCTGCAGCCACCGCCATCACCACCTCCAACCTCTCCTGGGGTACCTCTGGCCTCCGTTCTCCAACTGATGCTGCTTTCGGAGGCCTCCGAGAGGTCCACAGCTCTACCCCGTGTTGGTGCTGGTTCCAGAGGAGAGGTGCCAAGGCCTTGAAGGTGTGGGGGCCGCATGGGCAGCAGTAGGGCCACTCTCTGTGTGCAAGCTGTAGTGGGCACTGGAGGCTGGCGGGACCTGGGCAGCTGTGGCTGCAAACATGACACTGGCTTGGGTCCCCAGCCTGTCTGCCTCCCTCGGCCCCTGCCAAGTAGTCATGTTCATGGACTACTTGCAGCAGCTCCCTGGAGCACAAAGGGTCCTGTGCCTTCTACCCTGGCTACCTGCCCAACGTGCTGGGCATCATCCTCTACAGGGGTATCAACCTGGCCATCTACGAGACCCTCAAGAACTTGTGGCTCCAGCAGTACAGCCACAACTTGGCAGACACAGGCATCCTCGTGCTCCTGGCCTGTGGTACCATCTCCAGCACCTGTGGCCAGATTGCCAGCTATTCCCTGGCCCTGGTACAGACCCACATGCAGGCCCAAGCCTCAGTCAAGAGTGGCCCCCAGGTGTCCATGCTGGGTCTACTCCTTCGCACCCTGTCCCAGGAGGGCATGCGGGGCCTCTACCAGGGCATTGCCCCCAACTTCATGAAGGTTAATCCAGCTGTGAGCATCTCCTATGTGATCTACAAGAACATGAAGCAGGCCTTGGGGGTCACATCCAGGTGAGGGACCCGGAGCCTGGCCCCTGCCCCAAGATCCATCACCCAGGGCATGATATTCCCCATACCTCAGCTGATGACCCAACCATAAGATCCTTACACTTCAGACACTGGAACACCTCACTCCAACTCTAGATCCCAGATCCTCCTGTATTGAAACCTCAACTGTGGATCCTGCACTTTGGCAACCTGAGTCTGACACCCGAACCACAAGATCCCAGATTATCCACACCCCAGCCCTTAATCCCTACCCCACCCCAAATCACTGGATTCTGCATCCCCACATCCCCAAGGTGGATCCCACGTTTCTCTGTCCCACCCACTATGTCCCTGACCTCTGTGTCTTAACCACTGGATCCCACTTAACTTAGTGAATGGATCAGGATACCCCAGCCACAGGCACACGTCACCCCTGCCTCTACCTCAGCACCCAGATCCTAGCTCCCTCAGGCACCATATCTGGTGTCCTTGTGCAGCAGTGGATCCCAGATGCCCCAACCCCAGATCCACATGCCTCAAGCCCTGGCTCTCCAAGCTCAGCCACTGGATTCTGGACATCAGGAAACCTCAGTCACTGGATTCTATCAATGCAATGCTAATTCTGGGCCCCCATCACTGGGTCCCAGATCCTTCTACTCTGACTACTGGGTCCCTAAATTTCAAGCTCCACACCCTCAGCCCCCAACCATAGGATCCCTAATTCCCAAGTCCTGACCCACCAGATTCTGGCTCCTAAAGCAAATGCAGGAACTCAACAGCACAGCAATCTGCAGCCACTGGATTCCAGATTCCAGACCTCAAATCCTTTTGCCCTGCATCACTGCATGTTGAAACCTCATGCACAGAAGGCAGACCCAGCCAGACCACCTTTAATCAAGGTGGATTCCACCTTGATTAAAAAAAAAAAAAGGAAAAGAGGATTTTTTTTTCTTTTGGATATATAGAAGTAAAAGTCTATTTATTTTTCTGAAAGAGAGAAACCAAGAGAGAGGTTGAAGGAGGGAGTGGTCATAGCACACAGAGGAAGGAAGGAAGTGCCAGGCAGCTGAGGGAAAGTTGCTTGTAGTTTTAAAGGGTATAAATGGCTTTTTATCCTTCTGCTTCAACAGACTGATAACAAACAAAAGTGGTGGTGTACAGGCAATTAGCTATGCTCCCAGCATAAAACTGGGTCTCTTAAGCAGGGGTTGTCACAAAGGATAAGGAAATAATAGAAAATGGAAAATAACAAAATATAGAAATAAAAGAATACACAGAGACGAAAGTACAGTTTTATGAAGAATAGAATTATAATAGTTGGGGTATTTGGAGACCCCACAGCATTCCTGTGAGCTGTGAGGCCATAAGTGAAGTTTCACATCAGTATTTATAGGTGCAGTGATCAGTTGCCAGAGCTAAGAGATTTACATAATAACAGGTAGTTCATTTTAGGTTAAAAGGCTACCAAAAAGGCTTCTAGAGATCTGTTAATTAACTCTATCTGCATGAGCAAATGGTTACAAAATTTTTCTAAGAAAAACTTCTAAGTTCTAAGATAAAACTATCACTTAGCAAAAGGGTTAAACAGAGATATAGTGGCTCCATATTTCTTTATCTAGTTATTGTAGATGGAGACAGGTAGTTAGCAGTCAAGCAGGAACGGTTGTTTTTAGCCACAAGTGTCTGTCTGTAGGGTAGGCAATCTTTGATCAGCTCTCATCCCCTGGCTCCATGAAAACCTGCTTTGTCCTACAAAGCCGGCGAAAACCACAGGTTTGAGACTGCAGCAGTCACCTTTGAAAGCAGCTGCCACTGACCTTTGGGATGCCTTCCTGAGGCGGGGCAGCTTTTGATATTCGAACTAATACATTCACATATTCCTTCAGGGCAAAGCCCCGCAAAACTCCTGAAATCATTTCTGTCTCTATATAGCAACAGCAATATTAATCTATGGAGCAACAGTGGCAAAGCTGTTGCAAGTGTTCTTTGTTTTCTTTCTTTTCTATGTGAGGCAGGTTTATATGAGTCCTTGGAATCTGTTTTTTGACAGGAACTGAGGTAGAGAGTTGGAGTGGGGAATTCACACCCCTACTGTCCATGTAGGGCTCTTCAAGGCTCTGTAAGATCTTGATTAGGTAAAGACTTAAAGGAAGGTTTCAGGCAAGAGCAAGGTGGTTGAATGGAAGGATTATAAAAACCCTGGACTTCAGGCGATACTGTGGGAAGACTTTCAGCCACATTTTGATGATCAGAAATCCTGTCCGCAAACATGGTTCTATTTTCTGTTTTCACAGTACAACATTTTGCTTCTCCATTTATCATGGATTGCTGAGAAGCAGTCATTACCTTTGTTAGTCTTTGCTGTGGCAGATTCTTGGCATCAACATGAAAGTCTTTAAGAGGTGACATATGCCACAAATCATAAACACGGTTTGTTGGAAATCCTCAACACAGGGTCTTCAGTAATCTCATCCACTGGATCACTATTTTCAGAAGGATTTTCCAGTATGTTTTCTTCTTTATGTTCTGAAATTTGTTGGTGAATGCTAGTAAAACCACTACCAAGAGTGTCATCTTCTACAGTCCGTCCCAAGACTTGATCAGAAGACATATTAAGACTTTGCTGAAGAAGACTGATTATACGTGATGATTGAGAATCTGTCCCAAGCATGAGAGCATTTCTTTTCAACTTATCAACTGCATTTATGTTTGCTCCAGCCTTTACTAAAAAGTCCACCATTTCTTCTTCTTCTTGACTTACAGCAAGTAAAAGTAGTGTGACATGGCTCTTGTTTTGGGGATCAATAAATGGACCATTTGAGAGCAGTTTATCTGCTATTGATAAATTCTTGTGATAAACAGCATAGTGAAGATCAGTGTTTCCATAGATATCCTCAAGATTTACATTGGCCTGACTGTCCAGCAGTACGGTTACACATTCCTCCTCCTGGCACTGAACGACCTTCATCAGAGCTGTCCTCCTTTTGCTGTCAAACAAGTTAAGTTGGCACTTTCTGTTTACCAGGAGTCTTACCACTTCTGCCTGGCCAGTGGCACAGGCCAAATGTAGAGCGGTCCTGCTCTTCCAATCTCTGTCATTCACGCATGATGGATTCAACGACACGATGTTCTCAAGTTTTGATACCTCACCCAATCAGGCAGCCAGGTGATCTTCCTTAGATCTTTCAGAAGGATGTGGTAGCAGGTCTTCTTGTAGGCCTTCTCAGTAATCTTATCCCTGGCGCCCACCACAGCCTTGCACAGGCTGCTGATGGAGGGCGACTGGCCCTCTCCCTCCTTCCTCCCAAAGGTAAGGAACTTCTTCATGGTGCCAGTTGTGGGCTTCCGGACACCTCACCTCCTCCCCACTCCTCACCCTCAGCCCAATCCAAGCCAGAAACTAGTCTGCCCACAAGCCCCAAGAAAGCCAGTCTCCGACACCAAGTAAAGTGACAGGCAAAGCAGAGCCGAGCCGAGAGGAGCCAACCTGAGCCGTTGGGCACAAGGGCCCGTGAGCACCTCCGAAACGGCGTCCCTGCGCATGCGCGCCAATGCTGCGCAGAAAACCGTTTGGCCAGTGCAAAGCCGGCTGGGGGTGCGCAGCTCTGCTAGGGTTCCGGCCTTGGTGCTGTGGCTGTGGCTGATTCACGCATATCACTAAAAATCACCCCCTACTACAGGACTGCGGACAAGGGCTGGCAGAATTCAATTCGCCACGATCTCTCTCTGAATCGTTATTTCTTCAAAGTACCCCGTTCCCAGGAAGAACGAGGCAAGGGCTCCTTCTGGAGCATAGATCGGGCCTCTGAAAGCAAATTATCAGAGCAGACTTTTAGGAAAAGGAAGGGCGTGCCTTGCTTTAGAACCCTTTCGGGACCGCTCTCTTCTAGGAGCGGGCCCTGCCTCTCCCAGTCACGCTGGAGTGCTGTGTGCTCACTCCGGCGGTGCCCAGACCCTGCCCAGGGAAGGTCCCCCGCACCCCTGGAGCCCGAGCCTGGCGTCCCCCAGCCGAACTCACTGCCACCCAGGAAGCCCGCTTTGCCCAGAGCGCACCAGGGGCCCCGCTGTCCAGCCAGCCAGTCTAAGTGGCCGTCCAGCGACAGCTACCGCAGGCGGTTAAGCCTGTCACCTACACCGTTGCAACCCTGGTGACCACCGCCACCTCCCAGCCGCCCGTTGTGCAGATGGTTCACGTCGTCCACCAGATACCATCGGTGTCCGTCACCAGCGTGGCTGGACTGGCCCCAGCAAACACGTACAGTGTCGCGGGACAGGCCGTGCTCACTCAGGCGGCTGTGCTGGCCCACCCTAAGGCCGAGCTGCGAGAGGACGGGGATCACAGGGAAGCGAAAGTGGAACCTATTCCCGCAATTAGCCATGCCACATCCGAAGCTGCTGGCCGGATCATTCGGCCATCACAGACCTGCCCTGTCCAGAGGGTCACCTTAGTACAACAGGCACTCTAGGTCAACACCAGCTAGCAATACAAACTGTAACGCAAAACAGGACTCACGTGGCACCAATCCCCACTGCGGTCCACGGCCCCGTGAACAATGCAGCAGCAAGTCCTTTGCACATGCTGGCGACCCACGTGTCCACCTCGGCCTCCCTGCCCACTAGATGCCAGAGCAGCCGGATCAAGACGCAGGACAGGACAGGCCGGGCACGGTGGCCCGCGCCTGTAATCCTAGCACTCTGGGAGGCCGAGGCAGGCAGATTGCTCGAGGTCAGGAGTTCGAGACAAGCAAGAGCACATAGTAGAGACCCCGTCTCTACTATAAATAGAAAGAAATTAATTGGCCAACTAATATATATAGAAAAAATTAGCCAGGCATGGTGGTGCATGCTTGTAGTCTCAGCTACTCAGGAGGCTGAGGCAGCAGGATTGCTTGAGCCCAGGAGTTTGAGGTTACTGTGAGCTAGGCTGACGCTATGGCACTCACTCTAGCCTGGGCAACAGAGTGAGTCTCTGTCTCAAAAAACAAACAAACCAAAAAGACGGAGGACAGTGAGAGCATCCTCATCGCCTGAGTGTGGACGTGCCTTCCGCAGCCTTGAGGGAAAAGGGCATTCAAAACTAGCGACTGGGAGAGGTTTTCTTACTTCAAAAATATCAGCTTTGTGGTACCAAAAGGAGACATGGCCTGTCACCCATGCTCAGAGAGCATCTCCTGGTGGGTAAAGGGCCCTGCGGTCGGCCTTCGCCTCTCAGCACTGAAAATATAAAACCCAGGAGGCCTTAAAACTCTTTAAAGACAGAAGTCACACTTAAACAAAAACCACATACAACAAAAACTGGTTCTGGAGATAGCTTTTAACTACAAGTTGAAAAGCTCAGGGTCCTTCTTCCAGACGATCAAGCATCTCCGTGTGAGGACAACTCAGCAGGTCAGCGCCTGGTGCCAGCGAACCCCTGGGCACTGCCCCCCCCCCCCCGGGCCCAGGCAGGACACCCCACAGGACCCACCTGCTGGCACTGCCAGGCCGGACAGTATTTTATTGTTCTCATGTGGAAGCAGAATATTTTGAGGTGTACTTTCTTTACAAAATGATGAGGTATTTGACATGTCACATCCCTCCATTTCTGCTCTGGAAATTTTGGAATCACACAGAGCTTTTCATGTGGATTTCATTTGGGGAAAAGAAACAGCATAGCTTTGCGTTCTGTTGTTTGTCCTCGGCCTATGGAAGGATTCACTTTGTCTTGTCAAAGCTCAGAGGGAGCTACTTGATGGCAGCTGCAGGTTGTCGGTGTTTAGAGCAGCTGCCCGTTGGACTTACCCACCTCTTTGCGTGTGTAGGACGGGCGTGGTGCTGCGGCTGCGCGTGACTGAGACTCCAGGGACCAGCCTGTGACAAGTAGCAGCTGCCGGGACTCATCCCAGCTGCACTTACTCTTACCTTTCTTGCTATTTTTTGTCGTTTGTTTCTTTGTGTTGACTGTTGTCCCTGGCAAAATATTTTCACTCTAAGTAAAACCAGTCTCCTAAAAAGACAACTTCAGGTTAACGTCTCAGCTTTTGGTTCACTGGAACCTAATCCAAAGTGAGGGCAGGAAGTTGTTTCTAAAATCTCAGGCCCTGCCTATCTGGCGCCAAAGTCAGTCAAATTATCTATTCGTTTCTCTTTGTTAATGGCAAGGTTTATTTATTTTTCTAAATCAGCCTCCAGCTGAGAATGCGTCTCTTCAGTTTCCCACTTTTAGGAGAGAGTAAGATCCTATTTCCAATTTCTATCATTTCACAGAGTTATGGCATTATTTTCTGCTACCCAAGCATTATTTCTGTGATATTTCTCTTTTAACAATGGTGATGTAGGTTATTGTAGACCAATCAATTCAATGCACTGCACAAAAGTAAAAAACGCGTATTTGAAGGTATTGCAAAACTATCATGGCAGTCAGTGCTTGAAATAAGATCCAAAAGAGAAGGGAAATGTAAGAATGGATGTTAACCTACAGCACCTTTCTCCTCTAGTCATTTCCTATGTGTACATGGCTTAGGATGAAGAAAGTGATAGAACAAACAGATTGTGGGAGTTAAGAGGTTGTGTATCTCACCTGAGTTCTCACCACATTAATATGATTAGGGCATAAGAAAATATATGATTGAATTGTAGGTTACTAGTGCAGTCAAGACAGTAACAATCAAGATACTGTAATGAAAAAAAATGCACTTAGAAGCAGGAGAGGCTGACAGGGTAAGAGAACAAAAAGCCAGGTAAGGTTTTGAGAGTCTCATTGGATTCTTTTTAAAAAATGGAATTTTTAGTCAAATTAGAGTAGTGCTGGTAAATTATCCAAAGACCGAATTAAAAGTTTAAAAGAGGTATCAAAAATAGTTTAAGGAAATATATTCCTACACTGTGAAGTAAATTCTTCCTGAATAAATAAAATGAATCTCCAAGTATCACCACCATTTTTTTTGTGCACAAGTTTGGCATTTCACCAAAATTACCATAAATGGCAATGTCAAGAGAAAATAATCAAATACTATGTTAAAAATAAATAGACACAGAATCTGAGTTAATAAAGATACTGGAAGTATCAAACTAAATTTAAAATAATTCATTACTATATTCAAGGGGAGAGGTAACAAATTTCACTAGACAACTAGAAATTACTTATAGAAAGAAAACTTTCAGAATATGGAAGTAGAGAAAATACTTCTCAGCTCATTTTGGGAGTATAGTATTACCCTGATACCAAAAGAAGACAAATATAGTACACAAAAAAAAAGAATAAAGAAAAAAATCAAAACAAAACTACTAAGCTACAAAATCCTCCTGATGATTTAAATAAAATAAAAACCAACAACATTGTGGAGGATTCTAGAAAGATGATCAATAGGAAGCACCAGAAATTTGTCCCCCAACCTACTCAACAATTGAACCTGTAGATTTTTTTCTATCAGGTGTAACTATTTTGCAAGTCTGGATAATACTGAAGACTTGTGACTTTCAGAGAAAGATTTTAATAATAAATCACAGTAGAAGCTACCCATCTTCAATGCCCTGTCCCACGTGAAGCAGCAGTTCATGTGTTCCTTAGCTAGTAAGAGCCAGAGTAGGCAAAAAAGATGTGTCCTCCAAATATCAAGGATCAGGGCTCTGATCACTAATTGCTGCTTCTGATCACAGACATGGAGTTCAAGAGTTGGACCATTGTTGTTGCAGCATTATTCACTGTTGCAAGCCCCTTCCTCTCTGGCTAAAGTGACTTCCAGGCAATAGAAGAGACCAGAGCACTCCTACCTCCTTTATTTTTCTCTTTTTTCCCTTTTGCAAACCAGACATTAAAGAAAACATTGAAAAGCAAGTGCATATAGGGAAAATTAGAAAGTGACTATGCATGCCCAAGGGAAAGCTGTAGGCTCAGAACTAAGACATTTAGTTCTCACCTCAGGCTAATCCTGGGCACAGAGACAGCCTACAACAACAGCCACAAACAATTAATATAACAAAAATACCAAAACTTCAGGAATGGGGGGGGGCAATCTGATTTCCAGAGTTACCATGTTATTAGATTAAAATGTCCAGTTTTCAATAACAACAAAAAAGCCCCACAAGGCTTACAAATAAACAGGAAAGTATGGTCCATTTAAAGAAAGTAAACAAACAAACAACAAAAAACCCCAGAAACTTCCTTGAAAAAGA